CAGAGCGCACGCATGTCAGCCCAGGCGCTCGTGAAGGCAGGCGACACGGCCGCGGCCAAGCCGTCGCTACCAGGGTCTGCTTGGGCGGTGTGGGCCTTTGATAGGAAGTGAATGGCAGCCCTGAAAAAGTCCTTGGCAGACTGCGTCCCTTGAAGAACTGGAAGAAAAAGGAAATCAATGACTCGATACAGAGCTCACTCGGCCAAAGGAGGGACCCTTCAGCGGGTCTGTCTGCAGCAGGGCTTTCAGGGAGAGCAGAATACCACCCTCCGGCCCCAGAAATCTCTTAATCCCAGTGCGTCAGCCTGCTGAATTTTCTGCATATTCCTTGCTCCTCCAGGTTTTTGCTTTTGTCACTTTTCCAATGACAGAAACTGGACCTGTTTCCCTTGTATTTGCTTTCTCCAGCCCAGCCACTCAGACCCTGGTCTCTGCCCACGCAGAGCCACATGCAGCTTCGGCAACGGGAACTCTGCTGAACTTGCAAGGATCCTGGCCATCATCATGCCCAGAGTGGCAATGTTTGCTGCTAGAACCAGGTGATCTTTCTGGGGCAGTAGAAGTGGAAGAGACTTCAGCAACATGTCCATCAAGGAGGAAAAGCTTTTGTCTCGCCTAGAGAGAAAGCAAACCCCGAGACACGTTTCCTGAGCAGAGACAGAAGCACTTGAAAATGTCAAGGTTAAATGAAGCACCAAAAAACTAATGTAATTGGCGTTGAAAAAGGGACATCCCTTTTTCAGCATAGTGCCTTAAAAGATCTTGCAAGCTCATTTCACAACGCACCCTCTTTCTTCCCACTGACAACCTTAAAGCAAGCTCCTGCGGCTCTGTTACCTGATGAGGTCCGGTGCAGTCACGACCAGGTTAAGGAAAATCCCACACGTGGTCTGTAGACTCATTTCAGCGCTTGTCACTGGAGCTGGGGACCCAGGCTTGGAGGTCAGCATCTCCCACTGATGGAGGAAGTACTCACACAGCAGTGCGGGTGCCCCTTCCGAGATGAGGATGTCCCGGGGCTTGTCCTCGGCTGTTAAATGGCAAAAGCCAGGTAGCAGAAATCTGGAAGGGGAAATAAATTTGGAACATGAGGTAGAATGGGTTGAAGCCTTGCATATACACCTAACTGGGGGGAAAAAAGAGCCACAGAATTAGCACCGCAGGGAGAAGGGAAAATAGAAAAAGATTTGAGCAGGTTTGTGTTAAAATCCGTAAATTCTGCACTTAAAATACGCACCTCAGAGCATCCTGGGGTAAGCCAGAGCCTTCAGAGCTGACCAGCTCTGGCTGGGGAAGACTCGCAGCCGGGCTGCCCTCTTTGAAAAGCTTCTTGGCATAATGAACAAGGAAAGGCAAGAGCTCACAGATTTCCTGCTTGAGGGAGGAAGTCTCTTCTGCCATCCAGGCTCCAAGGATTCGAACAGAAGCAAATATGAAAGGATCTTGTAGCTCCTCCTGTTTAACCTACACAAAGAAGGAAGCAGACAGAAAATGACACGTTAGGGCTGCTGCCCTATCGAGCTACCGCAGGCATGAAAACCACAGTGGGCCAAGATGCACATTTTGCTCTACACAGCTATGGCCACGAGCTGCTCAGCACTCATTAAGCATCCCAGTGAACAGCTCCCAAAGCCTTACAGAGAAACCCACAAAAACATGCTCTTTCCTTGAAAGCCCTGCGTTACCCGTCTCAAGTAGAATATTACAGCTCCAAATGCCTCCTCCATGATCCTCATGAGCTGCATTTTCTGCACCTCTTCTAGCAGCGGTTTCTCTTCTCTCAGGCACTCCTGGATCCCCATCTCAATAAGGACATAGCAGGCTGTTACCACTTCTTTCTTCCCCTCCACCTCCAAGGGATCCGGCTCCTCTAGGGTCAGGCGGACCTCCACACAGGCCAAGTTCACCAGCAAGGCCAGGAACTTGCTTCCAGCAGTCTCTGCTGGGATCCACTCTGAACCACAGGCCTGTACGAGGCAAGCAGCAAGCTTCAGAGCCGGGTCGCGCTGTGACTGGCTGAGCTTACTGCCCAAGATATTAGCCAGCCCTTTGTAAAGTCTATGCAGGCACTCAGAGCCCTGCAAGTCCTGTGTGAGGGGTGGCGAGAGGGGGATGAAGTGAGGCAGAACCTCACACAACTCAAATTTGGTCATGTCTTCAGTCTTGAGAAAATCATCAGAGAGCTTGCTCAGCACAGTCAAGAGGTGTGGAGCGTCTCTCTGCCAGCACTTCGTCTCTGCTATGGCCAACAGCCCCAAGAGCAGCGTCAAAGCACGGTCAGAGCCATAACTGCAATTCACGTAGGCCTGGCACAGGGCAGACACTGTCCCTTTGGTCACCAGCTCTCTGGAGCCCCTGGTAGTGGCCATGACAGCACTCAGGCACTGGTATACATCATCAATCATGGACGTGCTGTCCGGATTGCAGGGGGAAACCAGGATGTCATTGAAGGTTGGGATTTTGCTCAGGATCTGGGAGTGACCAGCTAATTCTGGATCGGTGCAGAAACATGCCAAGAGAGTAAGGCCCAGTGCCCGGAAAGTGTGCTCGGGGCAGCCTGCTGGGGGCTGCCTGGAGGTGAGCAGGCGATTCGGAAACGTGAATCCAATTGCGTCAAAGATCTGGCGACGGGTCTTGGCGTCTACTTCTCCAGCTCTGACCGCTTTGGTCACCTGTAAGGCAAACCACGAGTGAGTGCGCAGCATAGCATGAGGCTTTGCTAAATCGACAGGACTGAACAGGCAATTAGAAGCCAAAACAACTTTCATTAGTACAGAGAAGTACCCACTGAGCTAGGCACTCGGTCTAAGCGCTAACCCCGAGCTTTACCAGAGTGTTTCACGTGTGGCAACACTGACCAACCCTCAGCACACCCAAGCCAAGGCCAAGCTCCCTCCTCTTTGCTAATGGGAACACCAAGGCATTGAAGCACGCTGCCCCGAAGCTCCCAACGCCAGCAAGCACAGCTGCGAACGCCGCTCGGACCCTCTCGTTTCCAGCGACGGGTTTCGCCTTCGCCCTGCCCGTTCCTGATGCGATGGCGCCCACGGCGCCGCCCCGTAGCGGTTCCTTACCAGAAGCAGGGCTGCGAACTGCTCGCTGTCGTTTCTCGCGTCCCTCAGCACGCTGAGGCACCTCTTCAGCGTTGAGTTTCTGTCTCCGGAGTCCGAGGCCATGGCCAAGTAGGCCGGTTTATGGACAGGGAGCAAAACCGGCGCCGCTGCCAGCCGGGCCCTCGCAGTCCCTT